CCCCCCCCCCCCCGGGGCTGGGTTCAGAGCCTTTGGGCTTGGTCCGAAGTGTCCGTGGCATCGCAGGGCCAGGCTGGTGCACGGCGCCGCCCCGCACAGCCCTGCCAGCCTCTGCTTTTCTGCTCCCCTCCGGCACTGCCTGATGGTCTGCTGTCTGAGCCCTTCCTGGCCCTGGGTGGCGGATTTCCGCACCTGCCCTCGCCCTCCGCCCCCCTCAGCGTGTTCCCCCGTGCTCTGCTGCTGCCCCCGTCGCCTTCCTGCCCTTGCCCGCTTTGCCCTCCGCTCCCGGGGCTGCGTCGGGCCCACAGGCCGCCTCTGGCTGGCTCTGGTCTTGGGCAGCTCCCGGGCACTTGGAGCAGGGGCGAGTGCAGCGGGGACAAGGGAACCAGGGCGGTGGGGCACAACCGGGGATACACGCGCTTCTCTTGCGCTGTGGGAGGAAAGGTCAAAAGCCAAGAAGGGACTGTAGTAGTGCCTCCTTAGCACAGACCCTGTTTATAACAACCCTTCGCGCTTACGGGTCCCAACAGCAGGAGCTATTTTTTTTTTCTCATTGGAGGTAGATTTTCCACTCGAAGGGTTAAAAGGTGTTGTCTGGTGTGTGTAGGAGTTTTAGAAGATACTATCCACTACCTATTACAATGTTTTTTACATAATGACATAAGGAGAACCTATTTATTCCTGTACTTGCAGAAATTGATACATTTCTCAAACAGAAATTAATCTGGCTTTTACAACAAACAGATCCAAATGTAGAAAACCATATTACAATTTTTGCTGACAGGGATGAGGCAATTACAGTTAAACATCCTTTATTACTGATACGAGTGATCCATTTTAACTTTATACTTCATTTTATTGTCTCAATTGTGGATCTGTGTGCAACAATTTTATAGATTCATGTCTTGATGTACAATTATATTTATATTAATAATGTTTTTATGTTGGTGGGCTCTATTTTTAGTATAATATTTGTAGCTCGGTTACCTTGTTCAAACTTACTTATGTTACGGGTGTATGTGTGTTATGGCGTCTTCGGGAACATGACATTTACCCAGAATCCTTAATAATAAATTGAATTGAACTGAATTGAATTAAGATGCAGCAAAATTGAATAACTCTGTTATAGCAAATTTCCTCTTTTAACGAACTTTTCTCCTAATGCCATGGGGGATGGGCGGTTGTTATAATGGGGTTGTACTATACTGTTTAGCCATAGCTGCATTCTGGCTTTTTCTCAACCAGATGTGTTGACTTGCCTATCATCAGACAAAAAGATCTGCAAAACTGAGGAGCTTGGTTATGATACAGATTCCACAGCCTCCAGGAGAGACACGAAAATGCCCATAGTTCTGTCTGGTAAGTCATCCTGTTTATACAGGCAGTACAGAATATGGTAGCACAGGCTTCTTGCAAGCTCTTCCACCAACATGCCTCAATCCTATAATACAGACAGGAGTCTGAACTCTGTGGTTCATTCTGAGCCTCTACTTGCACACAAGTAAGACAATGTGGAACGTTATTGTGGTTTGTGATGTGAACGTTTGTTCATGGGGAGCAGGACTGAGACTGTTTACTTATTTCACAAAGGGGACCCCAGCTAGCACTGATAAACCCTTAAGTGCTATTCACCAGGCACATTTGGTCAAGAGGCAGTGATCCTATTCCCAGTATTCTGTGCCTACGAGGTTCCTTTCGTTTTAATATTAAGTCTTTTTAAAGATAGATGTGTTCTATGATATCAGTTGTTTTCCTTTGGCATGTGAGTGAGGAAAGCAGCCTGCTTTTTATGTAAGTGGATTTTGTTTGATGCTGCAGTAGTCTAGCAATTCAGGCTGTGCTGTTCCCTTCTCTTTCCAGGTCAGCAGGACTGCTGTGAAGAGATACCTGCCAGCAGGCCCTTTGCACTCTCATAGGCATAAAAATGCTTTAGCAGTAATGCTCAGTTGGCATTTATGAGGTGGTGACTTAGGAGTGTCTTGTGGTGATACAAACCAAAAACCTAGGACTTACTGAATCGGCTAAATCTGACTCAGGGAGGAGGGATATACTCAGCTTCTTGGAAATTTTAATTTGACCCTGAACAATGAAGCTTCTTATCAGCCCGTTGCGGAGGATGATCATGGGCCTCCTGCCTCCCTGGGCACCAGTGGGAATGAATCCTATCAAAAGTGCTGCCTTGAACGCCCATCAGTTTCTTCTGAGACAGAATTTCAGTGGAAAACCTGGATTGGTGACAGCCCTAGATCTGGTCAACTACTGGCAAGAAGTGTTTGAAGCTAACAGGATCCCTGAAGCACAAGAATCCAGCGAGTATATTGTTTCCTATGTCTTGGGAGCAAAAACAGTTAAGTGGTGTGAAAATGAGGATGGTTATAGGGAGCAGAGCAGTGCAGAACTCCTGAATCCTCAATAAAATAACTCCAAGGTTTTGACCAAATCACTAATCTCCCCATTCCCCTATTTTATCTTGCTGTAAACTGGAAAGAACAACATTTTCCTGCCTTACATAGGGGTTGTAAAGCACTGTTGGTTATCTGAAGATACCTTGCTCTTCTTTAATGCTTTTTATTGAGTGATCTGAAAGGGTAAGCATTAGTTGCACTGTATACATGAAATTCTTCCCTGGCTCTTATAACCAATTGTCCTTGAATTTTGTCTGCCCTCCTGAAACCCAGAACATGGCAAGTAATTTGAGAGAGAGTTTTAATTGTTCACTTTTAAGCGTGCCTGAAAATTCTGCTAATGATTTGGCATCCCAGAGGGATGGGGTATTATGTTTTTGCAAAGAATCAGGTCTCTGTTAAGGCCTTGGTCAAGAGAGAGAGTAGCAGGATGCACAAGTTGTTCAAGTGGCCAGGTTTAAAGCTAATGTCCTCTTCAGTTCCACAGCTTGAGTGCCAGCAGCATATCTACTCCCCTCACAGCAGAGCAGCAGGAGCAGGTCCAGCAGCTGAGTGCAAAACGGTTGCAAAGGTAGGATCTTCCCCCTTAAAATCATTCCTACCTCCTTTATTTGCATTGGATTTTCTTCTGACTTTATTGAAAGCAGAAGAAAAATTACTAGTAGTGTCTTGTGCTTATGCTCCCTTGTTAGTTTCTGGGTACAGGGAACACTCTGTGCCCTGTCCTAAATGGTTATATTGTCATTGTGCTGTGATACAGCTTTCACATTCCATAACAGATTTGTCCTTACTGATGTTGGGTGTCTCTTTGTCTGTTGTAACTCTGGCAAAAATGGTCTCCATCTCCCCCCACCCCTGCCAATCACTGGTTCACTGGATCCTTTGCTTAAGGAGTAAAATGGGCCTGGTGCCTGTAGGTCACCTGGAACCAGACATGCTGGGGCCTTTATGTGAGGCAAGGAAATGATTAACAGGGATCTGGGTTTTCTGTTTCCCATGGAAAAACGGAGTAAATCGTGGATTTTACCTTTTACTGGAGGCAAACATGGATTTCTCATTTTACCGGAGAAACCTGCAGATTTTGCAGTTCTGTGATGAGCCCTCTGCAGGATGGCAGAGTTCCAGCCTACAAGGGGCTGGGAGGGAGCAGGAAGAGGGCCGATAGGCATGGGGTGCCATGTGCATGTATATGCACATTTCTGCCAGGCAACCTGGAGAGCAGCTCTCTCAGGTAAGTTGTAGGGGGTGGGGATTGAGGCCCCCATAGGGAAACAGGGAGGGAGTTGTGCAGGGTTGGGGCCGGGGCTGCAGCCCAGCCAGGCAGTGCCTAGGGCCCTGGTGGGGAGCGGGACGGGGCCGTGGGTGGCCTGTCCAGGGTTGGGGCCAGCTCCCCACTGCTGTGTGCACTCCCAGGAGGGTGCAGGAACCCATGCCCCCCAGATCTGTGCATGGGGCAGGGCAGACTGCCTACTGTGGGCTCGGGCTCCTTCTCTGCTGCTCTCCCCTGGCGCCTCCATAGTCCAGTGTGTGGAACCCAATGCAATGAGGAACAGTGGAGCTGTGCAGGAGCTGCCTGCCACCGCAAGCTCTGTGTTGCCAGCGTCTCCTACGTGCAACCCCGTGCTGCTGCCCCCACTGCAGCCGTGCAGGCAGGGGATACCTTGCCAGGGCAACACAGAGGTCACAGCAGCAGGCAGCTTCCTGCGTGGCTCTGCTGTTTGCAGTGCCAAGTCGCACATGCTGGGCTGTGGAAGTGTCAGGAGAGGGCAGCAGGGTGGGAGCCTGCAGTGGGTAGTGTGCATAGATGTCGGGGTTATGGGTCCCCCTGCCTCCCGGTAGTGTGCACCATCACGGGGAGCAGCCCCTGCCTGAGCCCACAGCGGGCAGGTAGCAGTGGGGGAGCTGAGTTCTACTCTGCTGCAGCAGCCGCCACCTCCTGCCAGGGGTCCTCTTCAGCAGGGTGGGAGAGCAGAAGCTGTGGGGTGGGGGGTGAAGGGAACCAGCAGGGCCAGGGGGGCTGTGGGGGAGCCTTTAATTTTAATAGTGGATTTGCGGGGGGGAGTTTATCAGAGAATCTGTGAATTTTTTATCAGAGATTTTGCAAGTTGTTTTTATCTGGGAAAAACAGGTTCCCTGATGATTAGGTACTTGGATCATTAGGGAAACAGAGATCTTCAGGGGACCTGAATGTACCTCTTCCCAGTTATCCTGTGACCAGTGTTTATGGAGCAGTTCTCCTTTGAGAGTTAACTTTATGATGTGTGACAGAGAAGTGTGTAGGGATTCTAATACAAGTGTCATGTGTTAGCAACGGTTGCTGTATTAAACATCATCTCCTAAATTGCCCTGATGTTTATGGGCAATTTAAGATGGAAGAGGCTGACAGGGTCAATGTCCAGGGCTTGGAGATTGGTTATTAGGGGCACATAATCCTGAGAACTTGTTAGAAAGGGGAGGCTAGTTCTAATGCAATGTGTAACTTGCTGCCTCCTCTCTCAGGATGCCTGTGCAGTATGTCCTTGGTGAGTGGGATTTCCAGGACCTGACCCTCAAGATGAGACCCCCAGTCTTCATTCCTCGGCCTGAAACAGAGGTAGGACTGTGGAAAGGAGGAACATGAACTATTTTTCTATGTTCTGCTTTGCTTTAGATTAATCCTGTGCCATGTAGGAAGGTTGTCTGGGGCTATTGACCCATGATGTTTGGATAGGTGAGCCTGTTTCCCCAGCTCCACACTGTAGCAGACATATATATTCTCTTGCTTGGTTGTAAGGAAGTCCCACGTGGAAGAAACTGGAATGGTTTCATTTCCTTTTTATGGTGGCACTCAAGCTGTAATAATTTTCCCCGCAGTCTAAGGACACTGAAGATATTCCAATGGCTTGTGTAGCTTCACAAGTGGCCTGAGATGGGGCAGCATGTGGGGGAAGGAGGGATGAGGTGGTGGCAAGCCCAGCCTACTTGCTGGGAGTGGGGCAGCACTGGTGATTGAGCAGCTAATTGCTTAATTGATGAGTCATTAGGTCAGCTGCTGTTTTCCTCTTTAACATCATAGGCCAGGGGTGGGCAAAGTCCAGCTGGGCCGGATTGGACCCACAATGAACTCCATTTCCCAGCAGCCCCTGCCTACAGTGCTGTGGCCAGTTTCCATGGAGACCACAGGAGTGGTGGGGCTATGATAGTGTGGGGCCAGGGTTTCCATGGAGACTGACCCCAGCAGCACTGGCAGGGCATGCAGCTGGGTGGGAACCTGCTCCAAGGCCAGGGCTGGGATCTTGCAGTGATGGCAACATGGTATGGAGCCAGGGCAGAGCCATGATCCACTGCTTGCAAGCCCCTGACTGGGGCATCTGAGCACTGGATTGCAGCTTTGCCCTGGCTCTGGACCTTGGTGTTACCGCTGCAGGATCCTGGCCCCAGAGCAGCTCCCTGCCCAGCTGTGCACCCTGTTATCACTGTTGGGGCTAGTCTCCATGGAAACTGTGTAAATCATAGAGAAGTAGGGCAGGAAGGGACCACCAGAGGTCCATCTAGTTTAACTCCCTGCCTGAGACAGGATAAGCCCTATCCACATCATTCTATACAATCCATAATCTAAACTACATAAGACTACTATCAAACCTGACACAACACAGACCTAATATTCTAATCTGCCACAGCAGGGAGCCACAGCAGCCAGCATCCTGCATCAATTAAATGTAGTCAGTATATGCTAAAGAGATCCTAGGTAGAGGGCTATGCCCAGTGCTAGAGAGGAAGGCAAAATCCCCCACAGGCCATACTAATCTGACCATGGGGTAAAATTTCTTCTTGACCCCAAACATGGCAGTCAGTCTGACCCTAAGCAGAGGGGGAAGACCCTCTAGCCAGGAACCTCTGGCTTTGATTCCAGCAGGAGAAGGCTGAGGGGGGACCTGGTGACTGTCTATAAACTCACGAGGGGGGACCAGAAGGGTTTAGGGGAGACACTGTTTCCCCTAGCACCCCCTGGCATGACAAGGAACAATGGACACAAATTATTAGAGAGTAGGTTTAGATTAGACATCTGCAAGAACTACTTCACAGTTAGGGCGGCTGGGAGCTGGAACCAACTTCCTAGGGAAGTGGTGCTGGCTCCGACCCTGGGGATCTTTAAGAATAGGCTTGATGACTGCCTGGCTGGACTCATTTGAGTCCAGTCTTTTCTCCCACCCAGGCGGGGGGTTGGACCTGAAGATCTACAAGGTCCCTTCCGACCCTACTTCTATGATTCTGTGATAGGAGCATTGGCACACCCCAGTCAAAGTCCCCAGCCTTGTCTGTAGCCAGTAACCAGTGCCTCTGAGGAAGGCTTAAAAACACTTTGACACATGTAGCAGAAAGTGGGGCGGGGGGCAACCAGCAAATCCCAGAAGCATGGGGAATACCCATTGTAGCTAACCTAGATAAGCTGATATAAGTTTATCAGCTACTCATAGCTATGCCTAGATCATCCCTTATCATTGGCTGTCTAGCCTCTTCTTCAACATTTCCAGTGATGGAGAGTCTGCTGTTTCCCTAGGCAGTCTATTCCACTGCCTCACTGTTCTAACAGTGAAGAAGTTTTTCCTGATATCTGGTCTAAAACTACTTTACTGCAACTTCAAGACATTGGTCCACATCCTTCTCTCTGCAGCAAGAGAGAAAAGGTGTTTTCCTTCTTTATGGCAGCCCTTCAAATCTCACATCCCCTCTTAAGCACCTTTTCCACAAGCTAAACATGCTTAGTTCCTTCAGCCTCTTCTCATATCACTTGTTTTCCAAGCCTTTTATCACTTTGAATGCCTGATTATGAACCCTCTCTAACAACTCCACATGCTTTTTAAAATGTGGAGCCCAGAACTGCACACAGTACTCTAGATGAGGCCTAACCAGTGCCAAGTAGAGACACACTATCATCTCCCATGTCTTGTACTTGGAGCTGACCCTAGAAGGGTGCGGAGCCCAGGGCAAACCAGCCTGTGCGGGGCCTCCCTTAACAGTGTGGGGTCATGGTACCCTTGCAAAGGGGGGGTGGTTCCCCGTGCTTCTACTGCAGTGCGGGGCTGAGCCACCTGCCTCAGGTGGGTCCTGTGGGAGGGGCCACTGCCACTACACAGGGCTCCCCCAAAGCGCGAGACCTGGAGTGGTTGCCCTGGTTTGCCGTACCCTAGGGACAGCTGTGCTTGCATCTGATGCTTCTCTTGATGTATCCTAAAACCGCCATCACCTTTTGTGCAGTTGCATCACACTGAAGACTCATTCTGTGGTCGGTGAAGACTCCCAAGTCCTTTTCCATAGTGCTGCCATCCAGCCAGGTGTCATCCACGTTATATTTGTGTTTTTGATTATTCCTTCCAAGGTTTAGCACTTTGAGTGCATAGAACTTCATCCTATTAGCTCTAGCCCAGCTTTCCAATCTGTCAAGATCCCTCTGAATTGCACTCACATCCTCCAATGTGTTTGCTGTTCTTCCCAGTTTTGTCATCTGCAGACTTGCTCAAGGGCCTTTCTATATCAGCATCCAAATAATTAATAAACACACTGAACATCACTGAGCCCATCACCATCACATCTTTCTCCAGTTCTTCCCTGTTGGTCAGAACAAAATCCAAGATAGATTATCTCCTAGTTGTATCCTCCAGCTTCTGGAACAGAAAATTGTCCTTCACACAAGTTAGGAACCGGTTTGACATTTTACTTTATTGTTCTTCCAGCAGTTCTCCAGAAAATTGAAGTCTTCTAACAGTACCATCCCATTGTTTTTGGGTAGATTTGTCACCTCCTTTAAGAGTGCCTCATCCATTTCCTCTTCCTGATTTGGTGGCCTATAATAAATCCCCACCATTATGCTTCATCTTTCACGTTTCATCTTCACCCAAATGCATGCTGCTTTTCTGTCGTCTTCCTCCTGGTCCAGGGAACAAGCATGTGTTTTTGACATACAAGACAACACCAACACCTATTCTCCCAAACCTGTCTGAAACAGAATGTAACCCTCAATGTTGATATTCCAGTTATAAGAGCTGTCCTGCCAGGTCTCTGTGATGCCAATCGGATCATAGATCTTTTGACAGGCTGCAGCTTCCAGCATATCTTGTTTATTTCTCATACTGCTTCTTGCATTTGTATACATGCATCAGACATATTTTCCATTTTGACCTATTTGCTTCCCTTTTATACAGTCCTATGGTTTTCTGGTCCTTTCCCACAGGTACGTTGTTGCTTTGAGTCCTTTCTTTTCTGAACTGTGCACTCTGTTGCTGGATGGTTTTGATCACCATCCCCTGTGGAACCTAGTTTAAAGCCATCCTTACTAAGTTGTCTAGGTTAAACAACGCCCAAAGATGCTCTTCCCTGTTCTTGTCATGTGGATCCCATTTCTTGATATTAGTCCTCCTTCCAAGAAAATCTGTCTGTTGCCAAAGAAGCCAAAGCCTTCACATCAACACCACCATCTCAGCCCCATGTTTACTTCTAGGATATGGTGGTCTCTCCCTGGATCCTTGCCTTCCATGGGAAAAATCACAGAAAACACCACTTGGGGCACAGTGCACTGCAAACTCCTTAATGCTGCTGCCAAGAGCCTCACAGTCGCATCTGATCTGGTCAGTGTCCTTCCTGGCAGTATCGTTGGTGCATACATAGACAAGCAGGAATGGGTAGTGGTCTGAAGGATGGATGAGTTTTGGCAGTCTCTCTGTGATTTCATGAATTTGGGCTCCAGATAAAGAGCACACCTCCTGGGCCCCCAAATCTGGGTGACAAATTTGTGCCTCTGTCTCTCACAGAAGGGAGTCACCAAAAAACCACCACTCTTCTCTTCCTTCTTGGTGCAGTGGTCCTAGAACTCCTGTCTCTGGGGCCTTGCACTTCCTGCTCCCTATGCTGCTGCCTTCTCTGCCTCGTGCCTGTAGATATCTCTCCTCTGCCTCTTTCTCAGCAGTTCCACTGCAGAGTGCTTGAAAGCAGTTTTTTACTTCAGTCTGCTGCTCTTCGATTCTGGGGATCCTCATTCTCTGAGTAGAGGCATGCTGCCACTTCTCCTCATTGCCCTCTCTAGTACCAGCCTCTCTCAACTCTTGTCCAAGTAATCTTCCTGGTCACAGATGCAGTGCAGTATGGATACCTGTGCTTCCAATCTGTGACTTCTCCTTCAGGGCAGACACCAGCTTACACTTGGTGTAGATGAAGTGCTCCTGACCCACTGGGAGGAACATGAACATAGTACATGACTCTTCCCGCTCAGGAATGAGGGCATATTGGTAGAATGATATGTAGGCCATAGTTGCCAATACCAGAGAAAATTGCTTATTGTGCCTGTATGTTTGCATGATTGGGTAGATGTATTTCTGCTGGCCTAAATTACAAGCCTACCCCTGGGCTTAATTGGCTAACATTGTATTTTCTGTAACCTACTTGTGTTCCCCTCCTCACCCCCATCCCTCTAATGTTAGTCCCTCGCTCGGGCGATTTGTATTTCCCTACTGGCTTTGTCATCTTTTTGGATTCACAGTCCTAAACATGTAATAAAATTTAATCTGTTCTATAGCCTGCTGTGCTAGGAAGAAGCTAGTGTAGCCTGAGACAAAAAAT